ATATATGTTTTTTTTTAATTTTTTGTCGATTCTGGAATAACCAGTTAGTGCTCCGTATATTACATTTTTTGTTGGAGGGCCTATCATGTGGTCACTTCTGTTCTCTCCGGAAAGTTGTTTTATCAGCATAATAACTGTTTCAGTTAGAAGAAGCATTCAGTAAATATGGTCGTATCAAAAAGGTTTGGTTGGCACGTCGTCCACCTGGTTTTGCATTTGTTGAATTTGAGGATAGTCGGGATGCGGAAGATGCCGTGAAAGGACTTGATGGGACGTAAGTTCGTCACCTTTTCGATAAAAATTTTCATTAGAATTTCTTAGGAGTAAGTTTGCCTTGTGGACATCGCTGCAAAATTTTACTTTGCCATTAATTTTTTTGCATTCGAAAAAGGATGGATTGTAATATTTGGTGACTTTATCAAGCCGTGTGATAAAATGTCGATGGTTGAAGTGTTGGAAATGAGTTCACATTTTCGTATCATTCGTCCGTCTACATCGATATTGATGGGTAGAGATTTTTTTATTATTCAACCTTGGAAGAAAAATAGGCAGATTTTAGGCGCATCTGTGGTGTTCGCCCAAGGGTGGAATTTTCGCATGGTGGTTCGCGTCGTGGTGGTCGAGGAGGTGGAGGTAGACGTCGTTCGAGGTATTTATTTTTTAAAAACCTGATGAATGACTAGGCTTTCATGCCATAGCAGAATATTTTGCATTTATTTTTTTAACAATAACTTCTACGAAAGTTCTCTTAGTTTCAACAATACGAAGAAAAAAGAATACCATGGTATGAAATTGAAATATATATTTTAGCCCGTTACTACCATGTCAGCGCCTCCTACAGGAACTTGTTTTATGAGTTCAACTTTCGCTCACTTCATACTACTGCAGTATCACTGTCCTGAAACTTTGTATTCGACGCTTCAGTTATTTTCGCAATTACACCATTTGTGCATCCTTCATTTTTTGCATTGCCGGCGGGTTCAAAGCCTTCGAAAGTGGTCAGCTTACAAAAAAGATTCGGAAAAAGGGTCATCATCTTCTAAGTCTTCAAAAACGCTTCATCACTCTCCAAAAAATAAAATTAACTGGCTATCATCGTCTGCACAATTTTATTGTTATAAACGACCGCGCAGCTGCGGTATCCGTGTGCTCGGTGGTCTCTGCCACAGATGTATCACGTATACGTCACCGCAAAGCTTCCACACTTCTTTCTACTTGTACCACTTAACTCGGTAAGAAAATTTGCAGTAGGAATACCTGAGTGTATATAACATATATATGTATATATTCTATGACGTCAGACAATTTTTATTCATGATGAAACTTGTCGGGATAGGGGAGTAGCGATCAATAGCATGAGGGAAATTCTCTGGATGTTTCCAGAAAGCCGAGGAAGCATTACTGTATATAAGATGGCATAACCCTGATTGCCTGGTATTTAGAAATAAAATAGTTCATGGCGTGACTTTGGGTGTCTTTCCAGATTTAAATGAACTTTCTTTCCAATGTGCTATCATAGTATTACCTTTAGTATGTAATGCGTTGCATAATCGGAAAATAATGGTTTGTCAGAAACGAGAATGGTTCTTTAAGCTATCAATAATATAACTTGTTGATAGTTCAAGTGAAATAGTTTAATAGTAGACAGTAACAATGTGAGTTTCTTTGAAGACCAATGGACAGTTTAGTTTGACAAATTGTCATTCAGTCATCGGGAGATCGTTTTAACCTGATGTTCTATGTTTTGCTGGAAGTCTGCTTATATGATTTAGGTCATATCAGTTTGTGATATGCACTCTGTTTCGACGATGTTATCGGTTTCTCTTGAATAAACCTTATAAGAGAGTTCATTTCCTCAAAATGGAGGCATATTCCGGAAAATAGAGTACACTGAAGATTTATGTCTTAAACTTGACAAAATCTACCAATTTTACGCTTGTTATTATGCAGATCTTTTTTGTAGGACACCAATACGACGACGCTCACTTAATCGCTCGCGTTCACCGGCATTGCGACGATCGCCACGATATAGTCGTAGCCGTAGCCGTAGTCTGAATCGGTTAGTATTTTTTGTTTCCTTCAAACTTCTTGCTATTAAGAGTCAAGTGAAATCGGAAATGGTGGGAAATATAATAAAATGACATTTCGGATCTGTTTTTTCATCTTTTTTAAAACAAGTTTGGTTTTTATGAAATCATTTGCTGTAAGAACTGCTTTAACAATCGTCATCTTGAATGTGTTGGTGCGTTCAATCGTCTGATGTATCTGCTGTGTATTCTTACTAGTCACGATTTAGATCTGTGATGTGAAAGTCCTGACTTAGTTATTACTGCTTTCAGTAATTCTTTTATTCAAAGCAGTTGTAAAAGTCCAACTGCTGTTTTAGGGATAAATCAGCAGATCAATAACAATAATGCATTCCAATCGATGTAAGTTATATCTATGTTGCTATTTTTGGGGAGATGACGAAAATCATTAAATATCTTTAACATAATGAGGATTTATGTAGATAAGATGAAAGAATGACGAAATATTTCTCCATAAGAAATATAGAAAATATTTGCCCACAAAATGCACTGCAGATCACGACATGATTACAGTTCATCTTAGCTCTTATTGATTTGGAAGTTTTTTTCAACACTTTTACAGCCAAGTTGGTTTGACCATATATTTTCTCCCCATCATTCATCCATTCATCTTCAAATATGAAATTCAAATTTTTTGTTTTGTGATATGAAAAGTGATCAGTTGAAATTTACATATGTTAAATTTCTTGCATTTAATCAGCTTGTTTGCAGGGCAAACAATATGATGTAAAGATCCAGTAAGATGCTAAAGAAATTATTGATTTAATGTTCATAATTTTTTTCTTTATCTGATATGGAATGTCTTCATGATTTTTACAAAGACTTATTTGTCTGACCTCAATTTTTGTCGTAAAAGTGATTAATTTGTTTTTGGAACTTATGATTAAAACGACAGGAGATATCTTTATATTCTAACAATTTCATAAGGGTTAAGATTACTTGCTACTGCAGTATGTCTATTCGGAATTTTTTGTACTGTTTGCAAACTATTATTGATTTGGAGAATTCTTTATGATCAAACTGCTTAGTAATGACTAAAAGTATTGAAACAAAATAGATTCAGAATACTGGAATGAAGCAGGTTAAGCATGTTTATAAGAACTACACTTTTTGAATTGTTGATGGTTCAGTTTACCGCCCAAAAAAACTATGCTCGAATTTATCACGAAACATTAACGTTTCCAAAAAACAAATCATTCTTGTCTATAACCAGCATTCCGTAGTTTTTCTTCTTTAATTTTTGACACTTTTTGCGGTTTTCATACTTTTAAAAATTCGAATTTTTTAGTTTAGATCAATTGACATTGTAATTTATACTTTGTTCATTAAATATCGTTATTCGTTTTTGATCTTTTGCAACTTTAAAATGAGTACAATGCTCAGCTTACATATTTATTATCTATATATATATATATATATATATTACATATATTAATGAATATTGATAGCATAGGATGGTAGACAGTAATACTGTGATTATTAAATGATAAGCAATGGAAACAATTATTTATGTCAAAAGATGGATAGTAGAGTATGATTATTTTATATTTGCTGACGACATGGTTTTATTAAGTTAATTTTTCCACTCTTTCGCTGAAATCAAAGTGAATTCTCAACATCTGAACCAAGGCATAGTTTAGTTCTCTATCCTTTAATTGCAGCAAAGATTTACTCCCATTTCGTATATTACTTGGAGAAATGGCATGATTTTTTTTTAATACATATGAATGGAGCTTACATATGAATTTTTTTTAATGCATATGAATGGAGTTTTAGTTTCGTATGCGTAGGATTCCGAATAGTTTTTCTGATTTTACATTGTCCATTGTTGAAAATTAGCAGTTCCCTTTTTTTTTTCTTAAATTATAATTTTACCTAAAGGTTCATCATCTCTTAATCCATTTACTAAATATGTCACGACGATCAGATCCGCTCGATTGCAAAGTATACGTTGGAGGCTTACCACAAGATGCTACATCTCAGGAGGTTAATCAATTTCAGTAACTAAATTTGTGTTGTGACGATTTCTACAATATATTTCATCTCGATGTCCACTGATTAATGACTTAGCAAGAGCTATTTTTTCGTCTCAAGCCGGATAATTCACCACTTGTTTTCTCTTCAGCTAGAAAATATGCACTTCGTTTTTTGTTTTTTTTAGCTTGAAGATGCATTCAATCGTTTTGGCCGCATACGTAAAGTTTGGGTTGCTCGACGTCCGCCAGGATTTGCGTTTGTGGAATTTGAGGATGCTCGTGATGCTGAGGATGCTGTAAAAGCATTGGATGGAACGTAATATTTGGTTTTTTTTTCTTCTGATTTTTCGCTTCAGGATATTTTGCTTGCCTTCGTAAATTAAATGGTATCATTTTTGTTTTTCTTAGAAGAATTTGTGGCGTACGCGCTCGCGTGGAAATTTCACATGGTCGTCGACGAAATGGTGGCTATGGCGGCGGTGGGGCTGGTGGAGGTGGTAGTTATTATGAGGGTGGCCGTCGACGTTCAAGGTATATCTTAACGAATTACTCAACCATTTTCTTTAACTGTTATCTTTATGTATGGGTAATTCTTGTTTCTTTTGATCCTATACGGATCAAGCTTATATCTTATTATTACATAAAATAAACTCTATTGAAGATGGGGCTTTATTCTCCTTCCCATCACCCGTCAAAAAGGCTAAATTATATTGCGTGATTGAAGTAGTCTCTTGTCCATTTCCAATAGATGCACTCATAAATTGTTTAATTTGCACTCAGGTAATCTTTCCGTTTTGCTATCGCGAGCTATTTTGTGTCATAATATGAAATGCTTAGAGAAAATAGGATTGGTGATTAGTTATGTAAGATTATTTTGTAAGAGTAAAATTTCCAGGTATTTGGAAACGAAAAGAGTAACTTATTTTAGCCCATCCATGCGGTTACCACTACTGTTACCACAGCCATTACTACCACTATTACTACTATACTATAACAACTCATTTCAACATCAGCACCTACTTCATCTGCTTTGCAAATACCACTATCATTCTACCGTTGCCTAACGAACATCTTCGTAGAAGCATTACGACTTTTTCATTGCTTCATCAACCTACACGCTTCTCTGCAACAAACATGCAGCAGCAGGAAATTTCTTGCGTGAAGTAGGAAATTTCGAGAGTGTACGGATGGTCCACATTTCGGTTGGTTTGAATAAGGCATAAACGAAGGTGCATCCTTCCGTGATCCTACCTGCCTTGCACTTCAATACAACCAACCAAGCACTTGCTTGTAGGTGCTATCATTTCAAGAAAATCGAAATAGTTAATGTTGAAAAAAAGAAAAAAATGCTTCAGCACAGCTCTTTTCCCAACATCTATTTCATATCATACAACATTCTTCATCATCATCATCATCATCATCATCAATCATCATCATCACCATCATCATCATTATCATCATCACCATCATCATCATCATCATCATCACCATCACCATTATAATCGTTATAAGTACTGTCATTACCATGATTATCAGTCGTGGTCATGAATAATTATTGTCGTCCTCGTCACTCATCATTATCATCGTCGTCATCATCAAGTCGTCATCATCATCGTCGTCGTATCGTCATTATGATCATCGTCATAACCATCATCATCTAAACAACATCCATTCATCGTCCCTGGATGGTAAGAAATTCAAATTTCGAGTGGGAGACGTTTATTTTCCCTTTCAAAAAAATTTTTAAAATTAACAGCTAACGATTTGGAAAGTTTTTTTAACGTCTTTTTCTCCGTCCAGCTTTTTCCGTTTTCTATTTTCTGGTCTTTTTAACAGTGATAGCATTATTTGAAATGTACAAAAATTTTTCTTCTTGATTTCGAAAACCTTTATTTCCTGTGATGACATGTGAGAAATGTGTCAATTTCATTCTCGTAAATTTTGAAATCATGGTTTTCATCATCAAGTTCTTGAAGTTTGGAATCCAGTGTATCACACACAGATTGCATTTTATTATATTTCATATTTTATTTAATAATGATGAGATTATGCTTCGAAATGTTACGTGAATGAATTCATCACATACTTCACTTCATCACTTCAGTCAGTAGCGGTTTATCGAACCACTGTTTATAAATTTGTGGTATAATTTTTTCCCTTTGTAAGGAAAAGTCATTGAAAATGAGATTTATAAAATATGTCATCAATGTTTTTAAAGGTCGCCATACTACCGGAGGACACGCAGCCGTTCCATCACACCACCACCACGTAAATCGCCTCGATATGACGAAAGACGGAGTATGAGTAGAAGCTTAAGCAGGTAAGAATTCTGTAAGTTTTTTCTGGTCTGAAAATGCAGGTAAGAATTCTGTAAGTTTTTTCTGGTCTGAAAATTATGTTCAGCAGTGAATTGGAGAAAAAACATGATGCGAAGATTTCTGATTTTATCCCTTCTGCTCTGTTATTGCTAATTGTAAGAGGAAAAAATAGTCAAGTTATTGGTTTTGGTTATCCATTAGAGCATTTCCAAATAAGTGAAATGGTGCTAAGAAAAGTTGTGTGGATTTTGATCAGTTATATTTGAATTATATTTTGTTCTATTGCATTACCAATAACAGTTCAGATACTATGTTAAAAAGTTTTTAGAGAATGATCGAGACAGTAACGAAGTAAAAGTTTTCAAACATATTGACCTTAATTACGACTCTAATTATTGTCCATGTAGGAAGGAAGTTTCTTGATATATATCTCCTGCACGTGAATCAGAACATATCTGAAATTCAAAATAAAGAATTTAATTTGAAAATTTGTTCATTTTTGCGAATTTGACAAGTGATATGATAATAAATTCAATGATGAAGAAGTTCTCGATTCATTTTGCCGGATATTTTTAAGAAACAAGGTTAAAATTGTTCATTAAACGATTGTTAAATAAAATGCTATTAATACATGCATCCTTAAGCTTGTGAAGATTATTGTATGTCCTGTACACGATATTTATGATGAAAATAACATTTTTTTTTTTTATTTTGAAAAAATTCTGATGTTGGAGAAAATAGTTTTTGTTTGATTTTGTAACATCTGACGCAATGTACTATTTTAAAAATAATATATGTATTTTATTGGACATGATTATTTTCCAGATTGAATCATTGAATTTTTTGTTCTAAATTTATTGAATAAAATTGAATGTTGCAACGATCATTTCAAATTGTTCCTTCTCTCAGGCCTATTGTAAACTTATATTTACAAACACAACACAGGCTTGTATATACCAAATTGACTAAACGATCAAAGAGTCTCCAAAATTTCAATGCTTCGATTAATTCTTTTGGCTTTGAATTATAAAATAAACATTCATAGCCATATTTGTATAAATATAAACCATTTGTAACAAACATATACTTGAAATGATTGTTGGAGTAAATATGATTTTTGTATGAAATGCGGCTGATATCATATATGATTATTCATCACAGTTCATCGCTTTTAAAGTAACGCTTTCTACGTTTAGCAAAAGGTGATCGAAACAAATGAATACCGTATTCATCTTGTAATTTCTGCGCACGATCCAGTATAATTTGGTAACGATTAGCAAACAGCGGGTCTATCGCCTTCTTCAAATCGTTTATCTGTAATCAACTATAAGATAGAATATAGAGAGGGAATGGAAATAACAACTAAAATCGAAGTTTTATGGTCATCCAGGAATCACTAGGATTTGAAGCATGAAAATATGCCAGTTAAAGAATTTCAAAAATACAAAGAACGAAATATCTAAGGTATGAGCCTTTCATGTTTTATGCAAAAATCTCTGAAAGTTGTAGAAAATAAAGGAGAAAATGCAAGGTTGATAAAAGAAAAAAAATTGTTTTTCCAATAATGATTGAAATGCAATTATTTTCCAAATGCAAATTATGAACGAGGAAATATCAATAATAATTAACTAGAAAAAATTGGAAGTATAGTGAAACAAGGTAAAACAGTGATAAATGAGTAAAAAAATTTAAAAAAATATGGTATGCTACTAAGAAATTCAATAACTGCAGAGAAAAATTGCTTTGTATTCAAGTTATTAGAAAAACAGAATTCATTGAATGAAAAATTTTATGAAAATTCAAGTTATTAAAAGCTGAAACAAAAAAAAAGAAATAAGATTTTAAATCGAAGAATTTAAAATAACCATCTTTTTTTCCTCAAGATCGCTTTTGGTGGGATCCTGCCGAAATATGTCCACAACTTGAATGGCATCAATTACTAATGGTGGTAATTGGTTTATTTCCATTCCAAGTTCTTCTCGTTTTTCATAAGCTTCTTTTTCTGCTTTTTTCATGCTTTCTTCGAATGTTTTCTGAAAGAATTAAAAAAAAATTCATGTAATCTGCTTCTGGACAGTAATTTCTTCGATAGAAAGAAGTATTATAAAATTTCAAATTTTATAAAAAAACAGTAGTACGGAACAGTTTAGCAAAGGGAAATCATGAAAAGGAAAATAATCTTCATTAGCGCTTTCATTGAAAATAAATATTTCATCTATTATGCATTTTTGATAAATTTTAGAGAAATTTTAAAATTAAAAGAGGCCTCATTTTTAAAATCATAAATTAAACCAACCGTAAAATTGGGTCCTTCATTTTTTGCCCAATCAGATAATTTCATATAAATGATATCAATATTTTGCATTTCATTATTTGCAATGTTTTGAAATAACCGTTGACCATTATTGGACGCTTTCTTAGACAACGAAGTTAATAAACGAATGATTCGTCGTTTTTGGGCGCTAACTGGACCGGAAAGGTTTAACAGAACAAAAAGAAGTAATGAGATGAAATTTAGCAACCGACCAGAAAATAATATCATAACTCATTCATTGGAAAATTCTAAAACTATTAAAATTTCACATGCAACGCGAGATTTTATCATTTGAAATTAGCATTCCTCATATAAAAATACATGAAGTATTATAGCTGAAATTGAGTCATATAATTCAAAATTGTTAAATATTCTCACGCCCCAATCGCTATCATTTCCAGGAATTTTTGAATTGTACAATAACAAATCAATTCATTTCTTTTTTTTTTGCTAATATGAAATCGTCACGAAGTGCATTAGGTAATTCACAGGGCTATACACATAAGATAAAAAGGAATTCAAATTAATAAAATGAAAAAATTATTTGATGCAAAATAAATCAGCAATACGAAAAAAAATGCAAACTGCAACTTTTTCGGACAAACTGCTAATTTAAAAAATTATTAAATTAAAAAGAAATGGAAAATCTCGATTGTTAAATTATTTTTATATCATACCGCTTAACAATAGAGGAATTAATTAAAAAAGACTTATTTTGACTACTAACACAAGAATTAAATTAAAACTAATCTTTTCTCCTTTCCATTTTTCTATTAATAACTTAAAGCATTTACTATTAACTGTATTTCCTATTATCATTCAATTTAACCGTATGATGAAATGAATTGGCAAAACGAACGGTAATTTCTGTTTTAAATTAAATTTATAAATTATCAAAAATTCCTCATCACTCAAAAAA